GTTTCTTATTTAAAAGAACTATAGTGTATAGGTACATAATTGAATTTTTAATTTGATATTTAAACCGCCTAAGGCTTAATCTAATTACTAAGGAAAATGTATTATAACTACACTTTTCAATGACAGAATCTTCAAAAGGTTATGCCCCTGGTCCAAATTTTGAAGTTACTGGATTCATTGTCTATACACTTTTTTCTTTTTTGACAATGCAGATATTTCGATATTTTGGAGACTTTACAGATTTTCCTGGAAATATTTCTACACAAATTTTTTTGGAATAATATTGAAGAAGAAAATTGCAAATATTGAAAAATGGACGGTTACAATTATAGCAATTGCACATGCCATAATCTGCACGGCAAGACCTCGATACTTCTTGTCGATTCAAATTGGTCTAGCATCAATTTTATTAACAAAGTATGGTTCCAGTTACCTCATAGATATATTGTCTGCACTAGGATTTTGCACAACGTACAAGGAAACTAAACTATTAAAAGTTTCTGCTGTCATACATCCATCTGCACAAACAGTTTTAAATAGCTTTACTTAATTTGTTTTTTGACAACGTCGATCATGATATCTGCACATTAGATGAAAAAAACATTCTTCACGCAATAGTTGGCATTTAATGTGTAACTTCACGAAATGAAAATGTATTTCACAGTTTCACCGTACAATTTCTAAAGAGAAAACTGTGCCATCAAGTACAAAAGTTGGCAAGTTCGGTCGCATAGACCTTATACCGTTCAATAAGGGAAAATCAGGCTTATCCATCATTTTTATGGAAGACTTACAAGACCTTAATCCATTATCCAATAACATTGAAGTAAATTCTATTGATTACATGTGGCTTTACAAAAAGTGGAAACACGAAGAAAAAGTCCCAGGTTTGTATATGTACTCACTTAATTATATTTCATTATTTGCAACGCTCATCGTGCTTATATTGAAAAAAATTGTAGTTGAGATTATTGTATCATGATAATTTTGTAGTAACTGTAACTACTAAAAACATTAATACCATATAGTAATTCCAACTTTTTGCAGTGTAATTTCTGCATTTTATTTATTTTATTTGTTTCCTCATTTTTTAAAATTTTCGCTTGCATTTACAACGAACGTTATACAAATATCCTACTGTTATTACATCTATGTATTTTTTTCAGATTGGAATGGATTCATGCAGATGTTGACAAAAAACAGGATGTCTGTAACTTCGCCAATAGTATATTTGCCGATCATCGACGCACCCGCAAGTGATTACGACACAATCCACACAGCTTTGAGAATTGCTGTACAAAGATTACAGACTGTAAATCAAGATCTTGCATCGTTACTTTTGATCTGCTCTTGTTCATCAAAGAGAGAGATATTATCGCTTCGTGTGGTGATATTTCACCAGTAAAAGATATAAACTGTAAGGCTTGGCGGATTTCATCTAACCATTTCTTGGCTGCATTGGATACATAATGGCTGACAGTGGCCTGGAAGATATTTGTGGTCTAATTTATTCTGTAATTTCAGGATCCGTGGAGAAAATGTTATGTAAAAAGGCGTAGAGCGATTCGTTGCCATTCACTTATTCGGCTTGCCTTAGCAACGTTTGTAATTGGAAGAAATTAATTTTTCGGAGGAAGAACAAAACATTTTACGCAAATTGTGCATGGCCAACGACGTTACAATCGAAACATTATCCGATCAAAAGATTTCTTTTTTTGCCAAACAATTCAATGAAAAATTCCAAGATCTGAAGAAAAATGGTCCGACAGCCGAAATGTTCGTTCAATACTTTAAAATGGTTATCGTATTGCGTCAATTTATTGATGCCGAAAAATGTGGAAATTGGAAGCAACATTTAGACTGCATACAACGAATGTTGCCCTTCTTCGTCACAAGTGGCTATTTCAATTATGCAAAATGTGCCTACCTTTATCTGCAGAATATGTTGAAAATTTACAAGAAATTAAACAATTCTGTAAGTTCACTAAAGCTGAATTTTTTATTTTTTATACGATACGGATCCAATAAATTCTATTCAGCGATATGGACGGATATGACGAACGAGCAGACGTACATAAGAAATATCCACTCAAGAGAAGGTTTGACGCATGGCCGTGGAGTAACATCTGCCACTACAGCTCGATGGATCACAAGTATTTCACTACATATAGTTATTGCTGATCAACTTGAAAAGTTTTGTAACTTCACCAGTTCCGGAACATCTCATCAGCATAAGGATGCAGGAAGTTTGCGCATAGAGCGGAATGAAAAGGACGTCAAAACTCTAAAAGAGTAGTTTCGCAACCATTTACCATTTCTTAAAAGTTCCGATTTGATGTCTGCACAGGTTTAATAGGGACTTTAGAGATTAATTGTCATAAAGCACAAGCTAATGGGATCAAAACACTTTCTGAAGTAATAAAAGGACATTTTGATGATATAAAATTTAGAAAACATTGAAAGTTGCCTTTGAAAACAGCATTTTCAAAAATTCATTTGGAAAATAATGACATCGTTCCTGTTGATCTAGACACTCTTTTTTTAGAAGAATGCTTTTGTTTCAAACATCACAAACAGACGATATATATATCTATTACAACTGTATAAGTGTTTCACAATGAATAAGATAGGACAATGCACGGTTATACCAGGATCTGGTGATACAATTATTTTATTATGTGATTTTACATACATATCCTAGTTTCGACTAAACTGCATGCCGTTACTTCCGGATTCAACGCAACCCCTATGATTGAAACAGGGCCGTATTATTACGTATTAAATTACTAATCAATTTAATAAGAACTTGATGCTAACTTGCATCCAATAAATTCTCTCTCCCCCGCGACGTCAAATAAATGCCTACCTACATCTATACGAACCATTATCGACGAATCTGTAAAGAAATTTATTGCGAAAAAATATCACCTCATGTTCTCAGCCAGGAATCGAACCCGGATTTCCACGTTTGCCGAACGGGCGTTCTACCTTTAGATCATCGAGGCATATAACATTCATCGCAATAATAATCGAGCGCGTTCTCAGACCGCGTAAATTCAAATAATTATTTA